TTTAAAGAAAAACACTTTACAATACAGGGGAAAAAACATGCGACTATGGAGAAAAATTGACGGGGAAGGACCCCACGGTTCTTTCAGAACACAACTACGATGACTGAAAAACAACGAGGTTTCCGTCATTTCAATCTTGAAAAGAAATGCGTGTAGGACAATATAGTTAAGAGGTAAGGACAGTTCGCGCTAATTTCGGGATATTCGGGCAATACCTGTTAAATGTGAGTTTTTCTCCGAATAGCCTGTTTCTTGACGCGGCCTGCACTGCGTTGTCAATGACCCAAAGATTTTTGCCGACGTTTTAAATGTCTGTGAGAGACTCACATTGTAAATATTTTCTGCCCCGAGTTGAAGTGCTCCCTCACCGGCAAAGAAGTGATAAAATACATCACAAATTTGGTGGAAACTCAGCTCAGAGATAGATTCGGGGTTGGTATTTCAACTCATTGATCCTTGTTTGGTGTAATGTTTGTTGATGTAGAAGAGTTGGATTAAAAAGTACATACCATGATGAAACTATAGACGGGAAGTGTTTGTGCTCTTAATCTCGAGCGATATAAGTTTCTTAACCCTGCACAGAATTTGGATGCATGTCATCGAGAAAATTGCTTGTTTTATCATTCGTGCAAGATGACATCACTGAAGTAGACGACAATTTGCATGCTTTTAAACTGTTATTCAGAAAGCATGTTGTGGTGTATGGATCGGAGCGTCATTAAAACAAAGCATACGTTTACAAAAAAATTAAAATATATGTGTGAAATCTACCGGTTGCATTGGTTTTCTTGTATTTCTGAAAACGTTTGACAAAACGGGACCTTTAGTGTCGATGATAAATTCTCAAAATGGCGATTGGCTTCCAAACTGTTGTCAGGGTGTATGGTCTCCAATGTTATTAGTTTCCTACTAAAATTGAAAACAAAACTGAAAGGTGAGGAAATGACCTTTAATGTTTATTTCTGTCTTCAATACCTTTTATCTAAGAAAAGTGTAATTATTTTCTCTCTTTTCTGAAGTTGGGGTGTTTATCAATGCCGTCTGTGGCAGCTTATTGTGGGTTTGCAACTCTAGACGTACAGATGCATGTAAAAATATTTGCTACCTAACTATATTTAGTTATAGAAAATTTAAAAATTACCTGACCTGCAGGAGAAATATCCCACTAAAAAGTGACTTCTTACTTCTAAAAATTAAAACTACATGGAGACCAGTGCATGCAATTCATTGTTATCATGCAAAGTTACGAATTATGGTAATCTTTCGGTAAAGTCTGGAATAAAAACATATCAAAATATTTAAGCATTTCACCATGTAAGAGAAAAATAAACTTAAAGGAAGTAATATGCATTTTGGAAAGATTGTATAAGTTTAATTTAACCTTTGTTGACAAGAGCTATGTCATGTCAACCCGACTGAGTCCGGGACGATGTTGCCGGAAGGGAAAGGTCGTTTAATGAAATTCGTCTGTTACCCATCTCCAGGTGACTTTTCCAATTACTTGTGGAACACAAAAGTAAAATTCCAACATTAGTGTTTCTTGGGATGGCTTCACTTGAAATAATTCTTCCGAAAACAATCGAACGTGATAGAGCGTCCCCATGTACATGCACAATCTCTTTAGGATGACCGTGCTGAGCTCAAGTTCCGGGAAGCTTGCAGCATGACCTTTTACTTTCAGGCGCTAATTAATTACGAGCACGGACGTGTCTGCGCGGGGTTAAGATCGCACAAGGCAGGGTGCATGGGAACAAACATAGCGCTGCAATACTGTACCCATGGTAACAACGTTATGCCACAGGCGTGGGGGCGATGAATCCGGAAAGTACATAAGTAATTAAGATGGTACTTTTTTCTGACGGAAATTACATTAAGTGGGTTTTCGTTGTCACTGTCGAGAGGCTTGATAGTACCATGGACTGAGTACTGGTAACCTAGGCCTGAGCAGCTTTGATTTCTATCTTGCATTGTGTGCAGTTTAATAACTGTACCCACGTATGGTAACGGAAGAAGTTTTCCAACTTTTTCCAGACTGCACTTTTTTATCCCCCTTTTCGAAGCCTTACGTGTTGCATTATTCAGTGGGTGCGCTGAGGATATGTCTTGGGGCCAGGGGCGGATGGGAGGGGGGCGGAACGGGGACCACGCCTTTCAAGTGAGCTAAATTGTCCCCTAAAAAAGAGCCAATTTTTCTTTTTTTTTAATATTAATTACACAAAGGCGATTTTTGTCTTTTTCATCCCTCTCCCTTCCAAAGCGTGTAAAAAGTCCCAAAATGTAGTCCCTCCGCTCAGAATGGACATAAAAGCCTACATAAAATTTTGTTACCCCAACAAGTTCCCCGAACCGAAAATCTGGTTCTGCTTGCGCCCTTATGTGTGTATGGGGAACCATAATTTACCCCCAACATAGCTCATGATGCCCCAGCCCCCTCCCCAGTTAGGCCACAGGGGACTGGAATGCACATATACGTCGATGCTGGTAGTTTAAGATATATTTGCATATTGTACATTTTAGTTTTGGTTTCCAGGAAATTAAAAAAAGGAAAACTGGGGTTGGGGGTCTCAAGCCTCCCAAGGCGAGCGTTGGGTGCACTACTGGAATTGTTTTTACATTGATTTTTTCAAAAGATTTTCAGCCATGTCAATGGCACAGGGCGCAATCCATAGGTTTAGATTATTGGTGAAATATCTCTGTAGCCCTTGGTGCTGACCGGTATGATGCAGGCCCGACTGTTGTTATTGTTTGGGTGAGTGGAGACACGTGTGTCAAGTTTTTAGCATGCAAAACCGATAGTATTCTGCGCTCTTTGGATGTTGCAACTTCCTGTACAGACCTTATTCGAAGGGACGCCATTTTTATCACGATGTTCCGAAGATTAAATGAGATGTTGAAACACTTTCTGGGTTCCATACATAACTTTTTTTTAATGTGGCTTAAGACATTTAGATATTTTATTAGTCATAAAGTTTAAAATTGTTTATCACCACAAATTACAACAATTTGTGATAAAAGTTTTTTCATTGCTTTAAATTTTATCACCCAATTATAGTTCCAAAAATAAAAGAAATGTTAACCTCGTTTTCAATTTACCTATGGCCGACTTTTGATTTGAATAAAGCCAAATTTAGCAAATTCACTGGCGTGTTCGATTTCCCAAATTGATAGATTTCATCTAGATAACGGATAAAGCATTCTCTGGAATTTATATCCAGGTTTAATTTCTTTTTCTGTTAAAACTTGCTCACGGTGAATTGTACTGTACACCCTTACAAATAAATCGAAAATTGAGTGGCAACATCCATATTGACTTCTCTCGGTCCCCAAAATCTCAACATAATAAGCTATATAATATTCCACAGAGCAAACCCTTACTCGTCTTGTTCATTCAACAAGACTGGCATAACACCATGATTATTCAGAGCGCGATCTCAATAAAAAATAGTTTTTTATTCGTGCGTTTAACTGCGGCAAGGCATTTTCACCGTGTTGATTGCTGAGTACGCTGTCAGAAATTTTTCTGTACATTTACATAGAATCTTATGTCAATTGTTATTACAAATGTCATGTTAATATACAATGGCTCATTTTGTACATGAACAGATTTTTATTTGTGGATTTACGAAGACGTTGTTTTCTGACTAAAACATTAGGCCTAAAATTTTGTGTAAGAAACGTACACGAGGTTGAAGGAGGCTGCTTACAAGGTTGAGGGATGCTACCAATGCTTTTCGTTGGTGATGACGTTGACATGTTTGGAGTTTATTTAATGTGTTAAGACATATTTCCTCACCTGGTGGATGCCGTATGATCATAGCTGCTCCGAAAGTAATCTATAATGGCGTACAGCTCGCTTATACGTGCATTGATTTTTCTTTCGAATTTAGTCACAGTTGGCAGGATTGAAGGTTAAAAACATTTGTTTTAAGCAGTTCTTATTTTTTGGCACGCAAGATGACTGAAAATAAATTTCTTTCTCCAAAAACATTAGCCGTTACTCGCAATTAAAGGAAAATCGAGAAAAATGGCAAAATCAGCTTTATGAAAGTGGTTTTGTGCACCAAAGTCAATATGCAAATTTATGTTAACTCATGTTAAAGAGGAAAAATGGAAAATTTAAAAGTTTTACCGGGTTCTGTTGTAACACAAAAAATCACTGTACAGTCACAAAGTGCTTTCCTTACAAAGATTATATTACTGAGACATAAAAAAAACGCATTGTAGGCAATACAAAGATTACTTACGTCTCTATTCTGGGCTAATATGAAAACCCACAGCACTGGAGATTAATTGCAGAAAGAGCTATACTTTTGCATGCGACACTGCGCCCGATCTTATAATTTAAAAAAAGGCCTTGTCTTCCATTTCCTTTCGATAACCGGTTGTTTGTTCCCGGCGTTGGAGCGGCCGACCCACGAACAACAAATCAAGTGGTTCGTGAACATACGAGAACAAGCCGCCCGAACTCAGCCTGAGAGTAGGGGAAGGAGTTCTTACACTGGGGTGAGACGATTGGTACTGCAGGTAGCTGTGGGAATCTGTGGGTTCGTAATGCACGATTGTGCCAAGTTTCCGCGCACAGATCTAGACGAGCACGTCGAGGAAGGTACTGAACAGAGAGTTGTGACACATCAGATGTGTAGCGCAGTGCTGGGTGAAATGCATCCGCAAATGCTACGGAATTCTCAACGTCATCACGCGTACCGGTGATAGCACCAACTATATCATCGATGTATCGCCAGTAATTTGGCGACGCGCCAACAAACACCTGGTCTCACTGTTGCGCAGCACTTTTGCGCACCGCCACATTCTCTCGGTGACGTAAGCGTCTGCATTCTGCAGAAAGCGTCATCTGATGTACAGCGTAAGGAACTGGAGCAGCGCGTCATTTTCGAACTTGGAACGCTGCATCTAGGGGGAATGAACTTGGATTTTTCCGCGTTCATTCAGAACTGAATCTGCTTGCCCTGAAGAAGGTACTCAGTTACCGAAAGCTCGGCAATCATATATTTCGGAGCACTGATTTAATCTTATATTTTGGTCGATATTCTGATCACGCAGCCCTTCCATAGTTTTACCGTGACTGGTAAGCAAAGTTACCACTGTGACGTAGAAAGAACAGGCGGTTTACACTGATTACAATGACGAGTTGCTGTTGTCATGGTAACTGCGAGGAGCCTGTGACGTGATCCAAATCACTCAGCCTCCTTTCCACTATGCTGAGTGCATCATTGCAACCTGGTCCCATCGGTCCTGGCTGAAGTCGTTGCTCTCCTTTGAATTACTTCGTGAAATTAGACCGTCATGGTAAATAAAATGTCAACAACGATGTGCAATTTACGCCTTCTTTTGCTGAGTACCCCGATGATAGTTTTGTCTTTAAGCAGCGTCGAAGGGACAGCATGTTGCGCCCTGGCAGTGGCCGAAGCCGGGGAGGATTTTACCGCACTCCGAGACAAGACATTCGCTGCCTTCAGACAGGAATGCCGGGTGAAGGATAGCACCCGTAAGTAGTTCTACCAAAACCTTTATCAGTAATTATTCTGTTCGAGAAATCTGATAATTTTTTCCTTGGCAACATTCTGCCAGTGTCATTTTTTTCTGAAGAGTTTCTGATATCGGTTTCAGTTTTCCAAAGTTCCCCCTTTTAACCACTTGACACTGGATCACGTGTTAACGCACCTAAGATAATTTTCCTCATATAAATTTTGTTTGACGGAGGCCGTGTACACAAAGAATTCTTTGTTTGCTTCCGCGGTTGACGTTATAGTACGCGTAACAAATTTATTCCTTAACCCTAACACTCCCAAATCCTCCATTTCAATACGATTTTACATACACCCTAGGGGGTTAGGGTTAATCTACATGTATGGTCTTTGCGTACACGCAAGCGGGATGCGTGCAAGAACCCACTTCGAAAACTTACTACCATCTGTCTTTCTTTTGCCGCTTGGGGTGCACTTCAACTCGGGGCGGATAGCATCAGAGCAGTGTCAGCACCACAGGCATATAAACGCATAGACCGCCAGTCATGCGCGTATAACCCCGATTTTGAAAAGTATCCGGTTCGTAAGTGTGACGTCACTTCAGTTTAAACCATACCCACTGCACACGTGCATTGCACATAGGGTTACATGATTGATCGCCGTTTGTGTGGAACCATGGAACCGGAAGTTAACGCGCAACTTCTGCGATCGTCCAATGAGAGCCTGCGAATCGTGGCGCGTCCGCCTTTGTGACGAAGTCACTTACGAACCGGATGGGCAAACGTTGGGCGGATAAATGTTGAAGGGCTGCGTAGCACCGTGATCAGAATATCGACAAGAATATAATATCAAATCAGTGCTCTGGAATATGTGATTGCCGAGCTTTCGGTAACTGAGTACCTGCTTAAGGGCAAGTAGACCCAGTTCTGAATGAACGCGGAAAAGTCCAAGTTCATTCCCCCTGGATGCAGCGTTCCAAGTTCGAAAATGACGCGCTGCTCCAGTTCCGTACGCTGTACATGAGATGACGCTTTCCGTAGAATGCAGACGCTTACGTCACCGAGGGAATGTGGCGGTGCGCAAAAGTGCTGCGCAACAGTGAGACCAGGTGTTTGTTGGCGCACACTGCGCAAGTGTTCCGCGAAGCGATCACCAAGGCGACGCTTGGTCTCTCCGATGTATAGTTTACCACAGCGACGACATGTAATGCAATATAGCACATTACCAGTAATGCATGTGTGATCCCCGCGTATGCTGTAGCTACCGCGGGGGCCGACGACCAACAGGCTGTTAACTATGTAGGGGCAGGTGTTACATCTGGGGCGCTGGCAAGGGGAATTGCTGCCTGACGGCGAGACAGAATCCAACCGGGAACGTACAACCATGTCCCCGACGGAACGATCGCACCTAAACGCGCAAATCGGGGGTTCAGCGAAAATGGAAGCTGTGGCCGCATCATTTCCGAGTATACGGAAATGTTTGAGAAGAATATTACGTACCGGGATGTTTCGAGGGTGGTATGTGAGTACGAGGGGGACGCGATCACGTTGATTGGCCCCGGTGGGTTTCAGAGCCGTTTCGCGCGGGATTGAAGATACGGCGTTGAAGGCAGCGTCTGTGATAACCGGAGGGTAACCGCGCTGATGAAAGAAATCTGGCATTTTCTTCCCACGCGCTGAGAACTCCTCATCAAGGAAGTTGGATATCAGTTCAGTGGGACAACTACAAGCAGACAAGATGGGGCGGCCTGGCTTTCCAGATTTGTGAATTTTGGGTAGCAAGTAGAAGACTGCCGTACCAGTTTGGTTGCGTTAGGGGGGAGGTCACCAGAGTCAATGAAACTTCGGACAAGTGCTGGCAACAGTATCTCGATGCTCTTCTGTAAGGGCGGAACCCGGTTCGTAAGTGACTTCGTCACAAAGGCAAACGCGCCACGGTTTGCAGGCTCTCATTGGACAATCGCTGAAGGTGCGCGTTACCTTCCGGTTCCACGATTCCATGCAAACGGCGAGCAATACATGTGCAGTGCAGTGGGCGTGGTTTAAACTGAAGTGACGTCACACTTACGAACCGGACAGTGGATGACAGCGCGTTCAATGCATTACGCGCAACGCATATTGCCTGTATTTATTTACATGTGCTTCCAAATACGTCCACCATTTTGCTCTTCGGTACTACTGTCTCTTCTTTTCAACTGTTGCGACCGCCTTGTTTTGAACCCCTGTGGGCCAGATTAAGTAAATAGAGGGGGTTTTTACAATCGAAAAATGGCTTCATAGAATTTTATGGCTGGAATTCTTCAAGTGTGCGTTAATTCCCTATATACCGAGGAGTGAATTTGCCCATGGTCTTTATTTTAGTCGGGTGCCGCGAAAACCCCCCAAAAACCTGCGGTTTTGAATAGGACCTGGTGGTCTATGCGTTTATGATTATGTCTGTGGTCAGCACACAGCAATAACATGACATACTCGACTCCATATATGTAAGCGTTGTTCTGACAAATCCGTTTTGATTCACCGTTTGGTTTCTCGTTTATCCTGAAGCTTGCCCGTTTACCACTGAGCCAGCCACGCCGCATCAGTTTGATTTTGTCCTGAGGCCTATCATCCCGCCTTTTCGTTTGGATTTCACTCTCAGAGCCCCGAAGGATGCGATAGTAGCACTGGCAGAAGACATGACCGAAGACTCCATCTTCGCCGAGATAGGTAACAACGTTGGTTTTTAAAAAATTCGTTCACAACTTAGTATAACCTTAGGATTCTCACGATTTGAATTTAGTGTTGTGTGTTTTTTGTTGTCCCATCTCATGCTCCCCCACTTCGCTCACAAGCCTTGTGAATTTTGACCACCAAACTATAGGGCCTAAGACTAGAAGAACAAAGTGTTGATAATTGGCGTTTATTGGAATCAATATAAGATGTGCTCAAGCACCGAGTTATCCATTATTTACACATTTGCTCCCACCGCTCATTAGACCTAGAATGGAGAGTGGGACCACCCCCTGTAAAATATCCACAGGCGGACCGTGTGAGGATTGCGGAAGCTCTCTGCTAATTTTCAGGCTCTATCGACGAAAATAATGATTAGGACGGGGATTACATAATGAAGGGAAATAATCGGAAAGGCATAGGCTATGATAATATAGGTTTTCCCAGTTGTTTAGCACTTTTTTTCATTTAATTTCGTCAAAGAGGGGTTACTCGCCTTAAATGTTTACTCCAGTTTCAAAATAACACCACTAGATTTCACTTTCACAGCACAGGAAAAAAAAACACTCAATCGTCCTACTTATTGTCATTGTCGTCTCACTGCTATGTTGAATTGGCGTTAAATTCCGAAAAACAAATTCATGTTTGTCATCCACTTTTCAAATAACACCAAACCCTAAGAAATAACACCATGAGGTAAACGCAGGATGGCGGGACAGAGAGTTTGGCGTTTGATATAATTTTTTCTCCCCCAACATCATGTTGAGCCCAAAGCTGGGTGATCGCTTTTCAATTACCCCCCCCACCAAAAGCGCGATGCCCCGTCAACCATCAGAAACGTGTGACATTTTTCGTCTTTTTGTAATATTCGTACCATTCTACGTCACTCCTTGAATTTGACTAGCTTGAAAATCGGAAGACTCTAATGTCAAACAGCTGGAACACATTCGGACATTAGCAAAAACAAAAACACATCAGCAAGTTTTGAAGAATAACCATGGCCTGAGACAGTTCCACAATATTCTCAGCATCGAAAGCAGAGCGCAGCACTGCTTTTGCTGCATTTAGGCCTACACCTGATTGCACTTGAGGGAACTGCTAGTGGCTACGTTGCAATATGCAAAATTCTATTAGGAATCACTGGCAAAGCTGTGGGGGAATGAAACCATTTATCGTTGTCAGGGGTCACAATGCTTGACTGGATAAGCAGGAAACTTTTGAGCGATCCTTACATGCTAGAAGGAAAGGGAAAGTCAGTGTCTATTGCATAAATATTAATCTTCCAATACGGGCAAATATGCAGTGCAGTGCGCCACCAAAAGGTCGTCACGGAGAGGCCTTTTCGCAGTGCATTATGGGATAAACGGTCGACAAAGTCTCATTCGTTAACTGCGCTGTACGCAGAAAACTTTCATTTTACCAAAGTTTTGTTTATCTTGGTTGAAATTCGAAATTGCTCATTGCGAAAGGATGTCAGGTAGTCAATGATGGTTTTGCGTGGTGCAGGGAACACCTCAGTCAAATATCCTCAAATTAAGTACAAATTGCGCTTATCCCGGCAGCGCGTGTCGATTGTAAACTTGAAAAGTGGCCTGTCTTAGACAAACTCTTGGTGGCGGGCTGTATTGTGACTCGTCCGTATTCTAATCTTCATTTTAGTCTTAGGCTTCTAACAAAAGTGTCTCAGATAATTCGCTCTTCCTTTGTATATTTCAAAAACTAACACAATTGCGACAACTAAGCCGACCCGCTTTCTTTAAAATGTGCATCGCGTCCTCGTTTTTCTCAATCTATACTGTCGACCTACTTCTTTAGAAGTCCAGTCACTGTCCAGATCTTGCTTTTAAAATCTTAAAAAGATTCCTGCAAATCCTGATTCCTGTAACGCCATATTGGGTAATACTCCACTGTTAGATTTTGGTTTTAGACGCTTACTCGTCACATTAGACCTGATTCTGTATAACTATAATGATATACATTTCTCTGTAGGAATTGGCAGTTGGGGAAATGTAAAATCAACCATTAGACCCTGCTATACGATCTTGCATGGATGCTTCGATTTACTAGGAGGCAATACTGTGCACGATGAGGCCGGCATCGTCAGCGACGTTGAAAGTCGGCCCTTCTGGATCGAGTACAAAGGGGGCGTGGTGACTGTCGGCAAGGGGGGACAGACGGAAGCTTTCATGGAGTGGGACGCCGCAAGCTACCACGATAAATTCCCCGTTCCTGTACACGTTGGGATCTCTACTTACCAGTCTTATGGCAATTGGGTATTTTACACGTTCTGCAAATAAATTTGCCAACTTCAGTAATGTGGACTGTATTATATTGTAGAGCTATAGGCCAACCGTAAAGAGTTTTGATTCGGCCACTTCGGTCGGTTTCTCAAGTGAGATTCTTTGATGTTTACATGGTTTTCTGGTTAGACTTAGGCCCTATATTCATATTAACTGACATTAATTTTAGTGAAATGCATTCTATTCTTGATTAAAACTAGTTTTAATTGCTCTGTAGAATACGTTTTCATGACACTTTCATGGTATAGAAGTTTGCAATGTATATTCTTCATACTAAGAGTGACATCCATGATTGGTCACAGTAAGAATGACATCC